CATTGGAGAATTCGGACACACTCAAGGAGAGGGCGGCGTTGGCAGGGTGGCCAACCCGCGACCATCTTTTACGTGATCATTTCAGAAAAAGCTGTAAGAGTGTGTCCAAAACGATCAATCTACAAGACTTAATTATTACAGTCGATTCATGGGTAGCAAACGTGAAGTAAACACACATCTCGTTAGTACTTCCGATTTTTCCGTGTTTTCATAATGGTCATGAAAATTGGCGTTTGTGTGTTGGTTGGCCCTATTCTCATATTAAGTCGTGTACACAAGAAATGCCAAAAGTCTGAAAGTGCCTCGCTGCAAACGAACACTTAAGCGTGCTGTTTTGCCAGAAAACTATTGATTTTGAAATTTTGCTGCTGCAGGATGCCTGGTATGTTCTTTTGCGTTTTTTGGCGATGTAACATGTCTCCGTTCTTGTCACGTTTTTAAATTGGCCTTAACTTTTCTTCAGATTTACCGTCAGCCGAACGCTTGCAGCAAGAAGCTGCCAAGCTTCTTACGGAGGTTAAAGCGTCTCACAAGATAAGTCAGAGAGCAATAGACCATTTTGTGAAAGGAGTAGACACTCTTTATGATATATTATTAGACGTGTTGAAGGTAATTTCTAACGATATTTTCAATCCCTTATAGCGGAAGCTCTTAATAGCGCGTTCTAACCTCAATAACCTAAAATTCTGTCTGTCCACCATGGTAACTTTTTACTGTACTTTTCCCAACAGGAATTCATGGTAGAGAAGTTGTCTAACCGTGATGGATACCTGACTATTGCAGATGTGACAACCACCTTAGAGCAATTAAAGGGACAGTGCATTTTTGAAGGAGTGCAAACCAAGGCCAAACTGGACCGCTACAATGCTTACATGGAGAGTAAGAAGAAGCGTGAATCACAGCCGTAGAAAGCGCGTTGCATTGCTTCCATTACTTGTTTAAGTTAATTCATTCTTTGAGAGTAATTAAAGTCATACCGTGCATTAAGTGAATTGCCGTATTTTTTCATTTGAAACCTCTGACGGGCGCCCTTTGCGTAGCGTATTAAGTGCAGTTTGAGGTTAAGGCACCAGGCTACTCTATTGCCTACCGCCCGTATCGCAGAGTCGTCTGTCCATGGCCTGTTCGTGTTTCTTTGGCCCATCTGTCTGCCGCAGCTGTAATCTGTTCTATGCCACACATAGAGGAAGTGATTGGAGAGGGGGAGGGTGTACTTGGGGGTTGGATACAACTTCCGCTGACGACGCTATAGTATCGCCCCGTGTCAACCGAGCGGCGTGCACCACGCGTGCAAGGAGAACAACTTTTCTCATTTCGCTTGTTCAGATGTTGTCAAGACGACCCCCTCCCCTCCCCCCTCCTCTCTCATCACCTTTCTCTTTCTTTCGTACCCTCCCCGCACCCCCACCACTCACCTTTATGCCGTAGTTGCTCTCCTCGTACACGATGGAGACGTACGTCCAGTTCATCCTCTTGACGATCTCCACCATGGCGGCCACCTGGTGGTGGTCGCTGGGGATGGTGCGGGAGAAGAACTCGAAGCGCTGCTTGTTGGAGAGCTCGGGCGACGTGGAGAAGAACGACACCTGCGAAGGACAGAGACAGACGGCGATGAATGAGGACGCTCACACAGACAGACACACACACACACACACACACACACACACCGCACCGTGCCTGGAGTTGTGTCGGCAATTACACGCCGAGGACAGATCGGCCGCGTGTCGCTCAACTACAGCACTACTGTACCGCGCGCCTCCCGCCTCCGCTGCCAGTTTGTGTGCCAAAGTGAGGACTCAAACGTCTGGAGCGGGACGAGGCTGGAGGGCGGGGGGG